ATATATAAGCTTTAACTATACCAAGTATTTCCTTTCGGGTCTTGGCTCTATTCCACATAGCTGAACTTGCCATATCTATTAATTTACAGGATGAGGTTGGTGCAGAAGGAATTGTGGTTTTGGCCATTATTTTCAAAATAAATTAATAAATGTTAATAAAGGTACAACCAACCTACAATTATTATACTACATTAAATCTCATTTTAATAAAATATTTTTTACCAATATATTTCTTTTGTACTATTGATATTGCCAACAGTTTTAAATTATATTTTTATAAAACCTTTAACAATATCCTACTAAAATGTAAAATAGAAATTACTAGCCAACACCACACTAAACATCATAAATGACATTACATACTTTTCGTACTTAACAATTTTGTTATAGCTGTGTTTATGGGCCCCATATTAACACATCATTTCAACTTAACTCATTTAAAAAACTTCTAATTCAATTATACATAATGTATAATACTAACTTTAGAGTTTGCATAGCCATGCTTAGGGAATTATAAAGAGATGGCTCTCCATGACAGGTCATATCCACAGCTTTCTTCAAAGATGTTATATGTTTTCTTGGGTTTCCTAAAATAGAAATAAGATCTTTAAATAAAATCCTATATATTAGAAAAGTTTCTTTCTCTCAAAATTTACATATCTAAGATGTTAAAGAACAGAATCCTTTCAATTTGCATTTCTGTTGGAATTTTATCTCAAATATTTTGCAAATAGTCTCACTTCATACTGAAAAACATAATACAAATAATCTCCTTATAGACTAGCATACATATTTTAAAATAATATTAACCTAGAGTGCATTTTTTTACTCTTAATATTTCCACATTTCATCATTTTTAAGATGAATACATTTTCACATTTTAACATCTCTGAAATCAGCATGTGTTTAATAATCACTGGTAGCCAGCAGCACTTGTAACATAGTCTTTGCCTGCTCATATGTGAACCTACAAATAGGTCTTCACATATTGTTGCTTCAATTACATTATGTACATTGTCCTCTTCATGGTGAGTTTAACTGCCATTTAAAATGTTTTTAAGGCTGGGCGCGGTGGCTCACGCCTGTAACCCCAGCACTTTGGGAGGCCACGGCATGCAGATAACCTGAGGTCAGGAGTTCAAGACGCACCTGGCCAACATGGTGTAAACCCCATCTGTAGTAACAATGCAAAAATTAGCTGGGTATGGTGGCACACACCTGTAATCCCAGCCACTAGGGAGGCTGAGGCACAAGAATCGCTTGAACCCAGAAGGTGGAGGTTGCAGTGAGCTGAGATCATACCACTGCACTCCAGCCTGGGCAACAACAGCAAAACTCCATCTCAAAAAACAAACAATAAAATGTTTTTAGAAAGGTTGTTAATACAAAAGGCTATATTTTTATGTAGAAAGGTGTGGAACATAGCAGTGAGGCATAAATTTATTATTAATGAAGCAAATATTGATGGAAGAATGCATGCAATCCCGTATTTTTCTTGAGGGAAGAAATCAAGAGCTTTACAAGACCTAAGAAAGGAATAGTCCCACAAATAGACAAAGCTGTGTTATCTTCCCTTACCAAATAGCATCTGAAAAGATTGTCTATCTTATGCCAAGCAATTCAAATGAAGGGGGGGAGAAGTTGCCAAATCCTTTTTTTTCTTTTTAATATAAAAATTTTTTATAGACAGGATCTGGCACTGTTGCCCAGGCTGGAGTGCAATGGGGCAATCTCGGCTCACTGCAACCTCTACCTCCCAGGCTCGAACCATCCTCCCACCACAACCTCCCAAGTAGTTGGGACTACAGGTGCCCAGCACCACACTCAGCTAAATTTTTTTTTATATTTTTGGTAGAGACAGGGTTTCGCCATGTTGTCCGGGCTAGTCTTGAATTCCTGGATTCAAGCAATCCTCCGGTCTCAGCCTCTCAAAGTGCTGGGAGTACAGGTGTAAGCCGCCACGCCCAGCCCCCAAAGTGACAGACATGTCAAATTACCAAGAAGCTAGTATAGCCAACTCATATATCATTTGATATTGTGTCAAAGTTTAACTACTACGACTTTTCCTTCTTAATCGCTTATAAAAGTATACTGTCATTGATGGAATCTGAGTTTCAATGAAATATAGTATTCCGTAAACATTTTCCATTTCAGCACTGTCTTCGTATCAAATCATTAAATTGATTTTGTCATAAAATATAATCCATCAAAGTATACTTTTAAACGTTTAATTTTTAATCTGTCACTATTACACATAATGTTACAAAGAGTATTTTTGTAGAGTGATCATTCTCCTTCCATAACATTTCCTAAATATAATTTCAGGAACAATTTTTATGCTGTTCTAAAAAATACTGAACTAATTTATAAGACTATCAGCACTATAAATAACAGTTTCTCTGTGGTTCCACAAGCAACATATTGCTTTTGAAACTTAATTTTGCTCATTTAAAATATATTAAAAAATAAAATGTTATGGAATTGGGTGGAGTTTTTTTGGATTACTAGTTTCCCTTATTTAATTTCTGGGGTTTTTTTCTGTGTGAATCATGTCTTGTCTATTCATCAACTTGGGAGCTCCCTTGAGTTTTTATTCATCTGAATAAGTTTTAAAATATTAACTATTTGTAATAGTTAATATTTACTGCAAGTATTTTAGATTCATAAATTTTAGAGATGAAAAGTACCTCACTAAGCAGACCAAATCCCTCACTTCATAAGTGAGAAAATTAATCTAAATCTAAACAAGTGAAATGACTTGCCCAAAGACATATGCCTACTTAACTGCAGGACCAGCAGCACCCAAACCTAGATCTGGCTCTCTATCCACTTCTCTTCCTACCCTACAAAATTATTTTTAATCTCCCACTGTGTTATGGGTATAGGAAAAAAGCATACCACAATAGTGTCAGTGTGGTTTACAGCAGTGGTCTGATTGGAGGAAAAAAGGTGGCTTCAAGAGGCCGGTCAGAATCTCCAGAGTATTTTTCATCTTTACGTATATGACTTCACTAACATCCATAGAAAACTGCTGGGGTTGAACACAGTGGCTCACGCTTGTAATCCCAGCACTTTGGGAGGCTGAGGTGGGTGGATCACCTGAGGTCAGGAGTTTGAGATCAGCCTGGCCGGTATGGTGAAATTCTGTCTCTACTAAAAATAAAAAAATCAGCCAGGCCTGGCAGTGCACACCTGTAATCCCAGCTACTCGGGAGCGGGAGGCAGGAGGATCACTTGAATCCGGGAGGCGGAGGTTGCAGTGAGCCAAGATAGCGCCACTGCACTCCAGCCTGGCAACAGAGTGAGAGACTCCTTCTAAGAAAGATAGAAAGACAGACGAAAGACAGAAAGAAAGAAAGAAAGACAGAAAGACAAGAAAGACAAGAAAGACAAGAAAGACAGAAAGAAAGACAGACAGACAGAAAGAAAGAAAACTGCTGGTAATTTGGGGTGGGTAAAGTGAGAGGAAAGTATTGACCCTATAGCCCTACCTTGGAGGAACCATCTTCTTCCACTACATAATAATCCTGCTTAGTTCATATGGTGCTGACCCTACTTCTATCCTCCTCTGGGCATTGGCAGGCAATCGAAGCATACAAACAAAATACTTCATTCACTGGCCACTTTGTTCATGGATGGGCAAATCATAAGTCAGGCCAATCAGAGTTCTCCCAAGACGTGTGCTGAAGCTATAGGCTACGGGTACAATGTAGACTGGGACAATTAAGAGACATCTTTTCAACTTCCAGAAAATCTATCCAAGAATGAAGCCCGACAAAGCCAGGACCCCAACATACACAGCAGCTATATATGGAATTGGCCCACCTTTGAATATAGCCAAAAATGTTCCTTCTGCACCTAAGCTAGTGTGACATTCTTTTGGTTACTCACAACTGAGTTTCTTGGATCACTCCAAGCCAATGTACATTTCACTCCTCGCCAATGTACATTTCACTCCTCACTGCATTTAATGAAAAACTACTAATGAAGAAAGTATATCATTTCCCTTATGTGTGTTGGCAAGGATAAAAGGTTGAGAACCAGATTTAAGGGATAGCGTGTTTCACAGAAAATAAAATAGAATCAGTGATGCAAATTTGTAACAGCATAGATACCAAAGCAAATTTAAAAATGCCATTACTACGTTTTGCAACTAAAATTCAGTTAGGTATGTCATGGAAGCAGAAAAATTGATTCATTAGCAATAGCTACAGTTTAATTTTTATACTTTTTCCCTTTTAAATTAGATGCTTAACTTTTTAAGAATTTAAGATTAACTGGATTTTATAAATGATTACAATAACTGTATTTTAATATTTTCAGGATAAGGCTGGGTGCGGTGGCTCAAGCCTGTAATCCTAGTGCTTTGAGAGGCCGAGGCGGGCTGATCACAAGGTCAAGAGATCAAGACTATCCTGGCCAACATAGTGAAACCCCATATCTATTAAAATACAAAAAATTAGCAGGGTGTGGTGGTGGGCACCTGTAGTTCCAGCTACTCAGGAGGCTGAGGCAGGGAATCCCTTGAACCCGTGGGGCGGACTTTGCAGTGACCCGAAATCACGCTACTGCACTCCAGCCTGGTGACAGAGCAAGACTCCGTCTCCAAAAAAAAAAAAAAAAAAAAAAGAAAGAAAAAAAAAATTTCAGGATAAGCACATATAGATTTTAAATAAAAACATTTATATTCAATGTAATTATTATTTGCCACTATGAAGAACTCAATTTAGAATAGTTAACCTTGTATCCTAAGAATATAATGGTGGGGGAAATGTTATTAAATTGTTTCCCCTAGAGAAGACAGAGGAACCCTTCACGTTACTTATTAAGCAGACATACAAACAAGGCTACGAGGTTGGGTAAATAAAGCAAAGTCCTTGAGTCATGTAAAGGTAATTTTATGCATACCTGAGAGTTCAGTCAATTTTTCAGCTCTTTTACTCTTAGTCACAATTATTCCAATCTTGAAATAAAAATAAAAATTATTATTAATCTAACAAGTTATTTCTTCCCATTAAGAATATATATAACTATTCCTGTAGATCATATTGGGGCAGAAAAAAAAAATTTACATAGCTAAAATAAACTAGTAATTACAAAAGAAAGAAGCAACAGGTGAGAAACTTTTTCTCATGGTGTTTTTGGCAAATAAATTTAGCTATGAGTTCACCATACATTGTTTAACTTTTAGAGTTACTATGCTTTTCATTTTTAAGTATACCGGAAACTGGTTAAACAATTTGGGTAATTCACAAAATACATGTCCAATTTTTAAAAATAAATTACATTTGGAAGCAAAACATGAATCTAATTCTGAATTCTATCATTTATATACGTACCTGACTAATAGGATTTTGATCAAAATATTCCTCTACAAAGTATTCCAACAACTGTTTAAATAAAAAAAGACATACTAGATAAAGGCAAAATAACAATCATAAAGAACATGTCCAAGTGATGTTTCAAGCATCACTTCTTATGACTTTTAAACTTACAGATTTTCAAAAAATTTTAAGTAATAAAAATATTAAACAGTAAAAACTTTAATTTGAAATGGTGGGTAATGAGATAGGTTTGAGCTAGGTTTTAAAAGATGGAACCATTTGGATGTGTCAGAAAAAATTTCAACGAGGAAAAGATCCAATGAAGAGAGATGGGAGAACGAGCAGAATTGAGAATAGGTTTTGATAAATTAGGAATAATATGAACATATTTGTAATCTGAGGAGACAGATTTAAGTAAGGCAAAGGAGAATGAAGATTCAATAAAGAAAAGGGATAACTGACAAACCAAGATCCTGACGTGGGGTGGGAGGATAGAAATTAAAAACACAAATAATTAGCTATGTTGGTTTAAAATTTCCCTAAATGACCTGGCAGTACTTCTACTTAGCTATCATTAGTACTAACTAAAAATACAAGGCAAAAAATAAAAAATATTGCATTCTTTAAAAATATCCTTTAGAATCCAGTGTTCTTCCCCACTTTCTTAGTAGAAGTTTAAGTGATTTTGGTATAAATTTAAATGATTTAGTATAAATTTAAATTTTACCTTTAAAGTACATGTCAGTCTATTAGGCTTTAAATCTTGGTCTTCCATTGTTCTTGATCCATCTACTACCACATAAAGGTGGCGCATCTACCAGAAAAAAGAAAGGGCCAATTTCAAGTACTTGTTTTGTTTTGTAGAAACTGGGTCTCACTCTGTTGCCCATGTTGGTCTCAAACTCCTGGGCTCAAGCAATCCACCTGCCTTGGCCTCCCAAAGTGCTGGGATTATAGGCATGAGCCACTGTGCCCAGCCTCAAGTGCCATTTTGATTAGTAAAAATAGCATTTAATAATTTCATATTCTATGCATATATTTTTAATGTATTCTTTTAAAAACTTTGTTATTTCGCTATTGTTTTTTCTAGTAAGTCAGAATATTTCTCTAACCTAAACTAGTTCTGTACTAGTAAAAAATAATGACATACCATTCCAAGTCGAACTTGTCCATGGTGCTCAAATACTCTGTTAAAATTACACAAACATTTTAATGGAATTCAATATACTATCCCCCCCAACACACGAAAAAAATACAACTTTCCAATTGACCTGCTTTCTCTTTTTTTCTAATTCTGATTAAGAATGTCATAATGTGCATTTTTAGTGGAGTAAATAATTAACTTATGGAATACAATACACATAATTATAGGTATTGTAGATAGTCTCTAAAGACCATTTCCTGCTGAGGCAAGGGTAGGTGGCTAGTTCTTTCCCCATAGTCAGAAGGCAATAGGTCAGTTTCCCTGAAACACAGCTGAAGTGAAGTACTAAGGAGTGTTTATAGATAGAAAGGCTTAAAATGAATATATTTTACCTTTTTAACATACGTAGGAAGGTTACATACCTTTTTCTCTTTGCCTTGAATAGAATGTCTTCTATTGTAGCTTTAAGTGATCCAGATTCATCTTCTTTAAGAATCTCCCTATAAGTCATAATTATTTGTTTGAAAAGACAAGCTAAAATGATTACTAGCCCAAATAAAATGAAAATATACGTCCACACAAAGATTTGCATGTGAGTGCTCATAGCTGCATTTACCTAACAGCCAAAAACCGTAAAGAACCTAAATATCCACAGACTAGTGAATGGATAAACAATAATGTGGCATAACCATAGATGGGAATACTATTCAGCAATAAAAAAGGAATGAAGTATCAATACACGCTGCAACATGGATGAGAAATAAGTGAAAGCCAGCCACAGCAGACCACCATGCTATAATAAGTCATGCATTGCTTACTGACAGGGATATGTTCTGAGAAATGGATTGTTAGGTGATTTCATTATTGTGTGAATATCACAGGGTATACTTACACAAACCTAGATGGTATAGCCTACCCCACGCCTAGGTTATGAACCGGTACAGCATGTTACTATACTGAATATATTAAAGACAACTGTAACACAATGGTCAGTATTTGTGTATCTAAACACACATAGAAAAGGTATAGTAAAAACACTGTATTATAATATTATGGGACCACTGTCATATATATATACAGTCTGTCTTTGACCAAAACATCATTATGCGGCACATGATTGTATATGATCACATTTTTGTGAAATGTCCAGAAAAGGTTAAAATTTAGAGACAAAAAGTAGACTAATGATTGCCTACAGGTGGAATTAAATCAAGATTAAATTAATTGTAAATGGACATGAAGGATCTTACTGGAGTGGTTACAATGTTCTAACACTGGTTTATGATAATGGCTGCACAGCTCAGTAAAGTATTAATGAAAAATCACTGAATTGTACATTGGAAATGAGTGAATTTTAACAATGTAAAATATACTTTAATAAAGTTGTAAAAAAAAAAAAAAGACAATGTCTAAAAGAAAAGACAGGGCAATAATGCTCTCCTTACCATGTTCTTTCATAGCCTCCTTCCCATCGCTTAGTTCTTTCAGGTTCTTCATCCATTTTTTCAAAACTGTATTTTATTATTCAGTAATCTATAAAAATCATTAGAATGTAAGTTATCTAAAGATGTTTGTTACAAAATGCATCCAATTAAATTTGAAAATTAGACACATATATAAAGTAAAAAAAATTGAATGCCAGGTCATCTTATTCTTTGTATTTTACTCAGTAATTGTCATTAAAAATCTTCATAGAACTCCATTTCTCATTTTCAAGAAATAATATGAACATGTATACACAAACTTGGTACTAATAAAAATAAGCATCTTTTTACGATTTGTAAAAGAACAAAAATGCTTTATAGATGTGTCACATGACAAAACTGCTTTATAGATGCTTTATAGATGCGTCAGATGACACATGACTGTAGAATTGTGAGGAGTCAGTATGGGTATAAACTATTATAGCTGAGTGACATGTGATTCATTGTAATATCTTTGTGTATGTCTGAATTTTCTCATAATCAAAAGTTTTTAAATCACATTTATTATTTATAAATGGGTAAATGCTATGGCTCATAATTCAAAAAAAAGGACACAAAATTAAACATAGTTATTTGAGACATCTCCAAACTGCTTTCCACAGTGGCTGAACTAATCTACATTCCTACCAATAGTGGATAAGCATTCCCTTTTCTCCACAACCTTGCCAACATCTGTTATTTTTTGACTTTTTAATAATATCCATTCTGACGGGTGGTGAGATGGTTCCGTGGTTTTGATTTACATTGTGGTTTTGGTTTGCATTTCTCTAATGATCAGTGATGTTGAACATTTTTTCATATATTTATTGGACACATGTATGTCGACCCAACAATCCCAATACTGGGTATATACCCAAAGGAAAATAAAATCATTCTACCAAAAGTATACATGCACTCATGTTAATCACAGCACTACCCAAAATAGCAAAGACACTGAATCAACTTAGATGCTCATCAGTGGTGCACTAGATAAAGAAAATGTAGTACCTAATATATCATGGAATACTAGCAGCCAAAAAAAAACAACAAAAAACCCCACAATGAAATCCTGTCTTTTGCAGCAACATGGATACAGCTGGAGGCCATTATCCTCATTGAATTAACAGGAACAGAGTCCCAACGCAGTGGCTCACGCCTGTAATCCTAGCACTTGGGAGGCCGAGGCAAGTGGATCACCTGAGGTCAGGAGTTCGAAATCAGCCTGGCCAACATGGTGAAACCCTGTCTCTACTAAAAATACAAAAAAATTAGCCAGGCGTGGTGGCGAGCACCTGTAATCCCATCTACTTGGGAGGCTAAGGCAGGAGAATCGCTTGAACCTGGAAGGCAGAGAGGCTGCAGTGAGCCGAGATCGTGCCACTGCACTCTGGCCTAAAAAAAACAGGAACAGAAAACCAAATACAGCATGTTCTCATTTACAAGTGGGAGCAAAACACTGAGTACACATGGACATAACGATGAGAACAGACATTGGAGACTACTAGACGACGAAGAATGAGAGAGAGTGAGGGTTGAAAAACTGCCTATTAAGTACTATGTTTACTACCAGGGTGACAGGATCATTTGTACACCAAACCTCAACAACAAGCAATTTATCCATGTAACAAACATGCACACGTACTCCCTGAAAATAAAAGTTGAAAACAAAACAAAACAACAAACAAACACAGGCCAGGCCCAGGTGCAGTGGCTCCATCCCTGTAATCCCTGCACTTTGAGAGGCCAAGGTGCGGACCACCTGAGGTCAGGAGTTCAAGACCAGCCAGGCCAACATGGCGATACCCGTCTCTACTAAAAATACATAAATTAGTTGGGCATGGTGGTGGGTGCCTGTAATCCCAACTACTAGGGAGGCTGAGGCAGGAGAATTGCGTGAACCTGGAGGGCAGAAGTTGCAGTGAGTCACAAAAAACAAAAACAAAAACAAAACCAGGCCAGGTATGCTGGCTCACACCTGTAATTCCAGCACTTTGGGAGACTGAGGCAGGTGATCACTTGAGGTCAGGAATTCAAAAATTAGCTAGGAGGTTGGTAGGGACAGGCGCCTGCAATCCCAGCTACTGGGGAGGCTGAGACAGGACTGCTTGAACCCAGGAGGCACGGAGGCTGCAGTGAGCCAAGATCATGTCACTGCACTCCAGCCTGGGCAACAGAGTGAGACCCTACCTCAAAAAGAAAGAAAAGAAAGGAGAGAGAGAGAGAGAGAGAGAGAAACAGGCACGGTGGCTCATGCTTGTAATCCCAGCACATTGGGAGGCCGAGGCCAGCAGATCATTTGAGGTCAGGAGTTCGAGACCAGGCTGGCCAACATAGTGAAACCCCATCTCTACTAGAAATACAAAAATTAGCAGGGCATGGTGGTGCACACCTATAATCCCAGCTACTCAGGAAGCTGAGGTAGGAGAATTGCTTGAACCTAGGAGGTAGACACTGCAGTGAGCCAAGATCGTGCCACTGCACTCCAGCCTGGGTGAAAGAGCAAGACTCTGTCATTCATTCATTCATTCATTCATAAATAAATGTCCTCATCATACCTCCACCCTCCCCAATGCAATCTCCCTCTCCACTCCACCACCTCCTGACTTACTGCAACCTCCGCCTCCCGGGTTCAAGTGATTCTCCTGCCTCAGCCTCCCGAGTAGCTGGGATTGCAGGTGCATGCCACCATGCCCAGCTAATTTTTGTATTTTTAGTACAGTCAGGGTTTCGCCATGTTTTGTATTTTTGTAGAGCCAGGGTTTTGCCTGACTTGCCAGGCTGATCTCGAACTCCTGACCTCAAGTGATCTGCTCATAAATGGAACATTTTTGTTTCTTTGTTTTTTGTTTGGAGACAGAGTTTCACTCACCACCGAGGCTGGAGTGCAATGGCGTGATCTCGGCTCACTGCAACCTCTGCCTCTGGGTTCAAGTGATCCTCCTGCCTCAGCCTCCCAAGTAGCTGGGATTATAAGAGCCTACCACCACACCTGGCTAATTTTTGTGTTTTTAGTAGAAATGGGGTTTCGCCATGGTGGCCAGGCTGGTCTCGAACTCCTGACCTCAGGTGATCAACTCACCTCGACCTCTGAAAGTGCTGGGATTACAGGCGTGAGTCACCGCACCCAGCCTAAACTGAACATTTTGCTCTTCCCTGTTTTCTGTTACATATTACGAACTTCAAAAATGAAAAACTCACATAACGTTCTCAATGTTTTAAAACTCAAATTCTTGGCAGGGCACAGTGGCTCAAACCTGTAATCCCAGCACTTTGGGGGGCCAAGACAAAAGGATCACTTGAGTTCAGGAGCTCAGATCAGCCTGGGCAACCTTGTCTCTACAAAACATCAAAAAATTAGCTGGGCGAAGTGGCGAGTACTTGAGTCCCAGCTACTTGGGAAGCTAAAGTGGGAGGATGGCTTGAGCCCAAGCAAGTCAAGGCTACAGTGAGTCATGTTCACTACTGCACTCCAGACTGGGTGACATAGTGAGACCCTGTCTCAAAAGAAATAATTATAAATATATAATATATATTATAAATATAAAAATAAATAGCAACTGAGAGACTTTTGGATGATCGTATCAAAGGACTTCTTTTTTTTCCTTTTTTTTTTTCTGAGACAGTCTTGCTCTGTCGCCTAAGCTTGGAGTGCAGTGACACGATCTCAGCTCACTGCAACCTCCACCTCAGGGTTCAAGCGATTCCACTGCCTCTTCTGTCTCCGGCATAGCTGAGATTAAGGCGCATGCCACCACAGTTAACTTTTTTTTAGTAGAGACGGGGTTTCACCAGCCTGTTGGCCAGGCCTGGTCTCGAATTCCTAATCACAACTGGTCCTCCTACCTCGGCCCTCCAAAGTGTTGGGACTAGAGGCATGAGTCACCACGCCCGGCTAAAAGGACTTCTTAATTAGAGCTGCCTGCAATGGGAAATCAGAGACTGGACAGGAGGTATTAAGGTCCCTAAAACTGCAGACGTTCAATGGGGAGTCTGACTGTAAACATGCATGCTGTTTAAAGGATTCATGCATCTTGAAGATTGACTTTGTAAAGATCTCCAATGGCCTATCATTTCCCAAGAGTCCATCTTCTTCTTAAAAATATCAGTGAGGCCGGGCGGGTGGCTCACACCTGTAATCCCAGCACTTTGGGAGGCTGAGGCGGAAGGATCACGAGGTCAAGAGATAGAGACCATCCTGGCCAACATGGTGAAACCCCGTCCGTACTGAAAATACAAAAATTAGCTAGGCGTGGTGGCGCGCGCCTGTAGTTCCAGCTACTCAGGAGGCTGAGGCAAGAGAATCGCTTGAACCCGGGAGGTGGAGGTTGCAGTAAGCCGAGATCGCGCCGCTGCACTCCAGGCTGGCGACAGAGCGAGACTCCGTCTTCGGGGGGGCGGAAAATTAAGTGATCTGTTTCCTGGAATCCAACCCCAAACAATCCACATTCCTCAGCATAAGCCTACTGGTGTGATTCCCGTTACATGAGCTCGGAATGCTCTCTGGAAACAAATGAGAGCACCAAACATCCCAATTTAAGAAGCTTTTCTTCACACCTTACCCTACCAAGCTATGTGAAACTGGCAAGGCTGATTACTGTCCTTGTTTTTCAGGTATGGGATTCAGGCTCAGAGGGTGGTCACTTTCTCAAGCGGGTCACAAACTCGAACCCTGAACCATCATTTCTAAAAGTCGCGCTTCTACTTAGGGAGGGACGGCCTGCAGCCTCCCTCCCTACTCTACGGCTCCCCACACGAAAGTTACCTTCCTCTGCCTTCACAAGCTCCTTCACATCCTCCTTCCCTATGAGCACAGGCAGGGCAGTTCAGCCTCCGTTCCCCGCCACGAAAACCCTCCCAGCCGCCTACCTAGCCAAGCAGCCTGCCCCACCTCTGCGCCACACAGACTTCCACCCGCGGACTCACCGGCCTGGCTAGGACTCTCAGCCGGAAACTCCGCCCCGCCGCTTTAGAGGCGCCCCGGAAGTCATTCCGCCTCGCGCTGCGGCCAAGGCGAAACGTTCCGGATGGTGCAGGCGGTAGCTGCCGGAGCGGGGCGCTCTGGTGCAGGGCATGCCCGCCGCTGAGTTGGGGCGCGGAAAGGGATTGTCTTCCAGCTGGGCTTCGCAGAGAACTGGAAAACAGTGATCGCCATTCGCTCTCGGAAGGTCGAAGGCTCTGCAGCCGTCGACCTGGGTTCTGAGGAGCTCGATCTTGTTTTTCTACCTCTAAAAAGTTGAGATAAAAGACCCTGGCTACAGAAGTAAGGCCAGAGTTATCCTTGCTTCTTGCTGTGTATTTCAGGACTCCTCCGTTGCTCTTGCTGTTCATTCAGCAAACATTGAGCATCTACTTTGAGCCTGATGCATGTCTAAGCACTGAGGAAATAGCAATGAAAAACTGACAAAAATCCTTACTCTCGTGGAGTTTTTCTCCAAGGGGAGTAAGTATGAAGAAAAACATATACTATATGAAATGGTGATAGTGCTGTGGAGAAAAACTAAGCATTGAAGGGGAAAAGTTGACAGTTTAAAATAGGATGGCTAGACCGGGTGCGATGGTTCACGCCTGTAATCCCAGGCATGGTGATTTGGGAGGCCTAGCGGGGATGGATCACCGGAGGGCAGGAGTTTGAGACCAGCCTGGCCAACATGGTGAATTCCGTCTCTACTAAAAATACAAAAAAATTAGCCGGGTGTGCTGGCAAGCGCCTGTGATCCCAGCTACTCGGGAGGCTGAGGCAGGAGAATCACTTGAATCCAGGAGGCAGAGGTTGCAGCGAGCCAAGGTCGCACCTTGCACTCCAGCCTGGGTGACAGAGACTCCGTCTCAAAAAAAATAAAGTAGGGTGGCCAGAGGAGTCCTCGCTGAGAAGACAGTTAAGCCATGACCTGAATGAGGAAGGGTGTTAACCCTGCTGACATCTAGGGGAAAAGCTTTTCAGACAAAGACAGCTGCAAGTGCAAAGGCCCCGTTAGAAGTGCATTGGGGTCTTTGACGACTGCAGGAGTGAGCAGGGGATGAGTGATGGCAGCTACAATCAGAAGGGTAAGGTGGGGAGGAGAGGCTGTGAGCATTGTTAAGAACTTTGCTGGGATTGTGATGGCTTGGACCAGCAGCTGGTGAGAAGTGACTGAATTCTAAATCTTACTGATACACTGGATGTGTGTTATGAGAAAAGAATCAAGGATACCTCCAAAGTCTTCAGCTGAGCAACTGAAAGGTTGGGGTCGCAATTATTGAAATGTTGGTGGGGTGGGTAAGATCAATTCAGTTTTGGACAAGTTGTCTGACTGCCAATTAACACAAGTGGAATTATTGGCATTTCCCATACTTGAGAAATGGAGAGGCAGTGCACCCCCAGATGAGAAGAGGATTAGGAATAACAGAAAGCAACTGCAGAAGCTGGGGCCTCTTTCCTTCCCCATCAGCATATTCATCCCCTCCGTTGCCTTTATTGTTAAAAATTCTTCCCATCTCTGTTGTCTCCCTCAAAAATATAAACAGAAGGTATCTTGCATAGCAGTGGAAAGAACAGCCCTGGATTTAAAATCAGGTTCTGACATAGTGGCTGGGTGACCTCAAGCAAGTCACACCAAGTCTATGAACTAATGTGTAAAATGGGGTTGTCTCCACCAACCCTACAGGGCTTAGTGGCAGCTCTGTAATCAGTCTCATTTCCTCCCAGAAGACAAGATTTTATTTAGTTATTTGTGTTGGCTTTGCATGAACACGATTTTAAAAGGGAGAGGAGGGGAAATTAGTATCACAGTGCCAGGAAGCTTCCATGCTTGCCTCCCTCCCACCTTTGACCTCCTTAGAGGACTCACACCCAAACTCCACACTTTTCCGTTTGTGTCCTTCCTTCCTATCCACACTTTTGCTTCCTTCCATCTTAATTGACCATCCTATTTGCAAGATGGGATGCATTCCTCTAGGACAAACAGCCTAGAGGAATCCCAAGCCCCAAGTTTCTTGTATGTGTTTGTTATCCATCAGCCTGGGAAGACTTTAAGGAAAATCAGGAAAAGGATAGAGGATTCCCCAATAAATGTAAAGCATATTTGCAGAGAGGAGACTAAAACAGTTTTCCTAACTGTAATATTTGCTCTGTATAGATTTTAGACATGGATGTTAAGATTCAACTAGGAATGGTACTAGTTGAAGCAAAAGCAAAACAAAATATGCATAAATCCATAATCTCTTGGCGTGATTATGACTGACATATTCTAATCATGTACAAGTGGTAGAATAAATTATCCAACCTACTCAGATGTTTTTTCAAATTGTAAAACTAAAAGACATATAGACTATATGTCTTTTATATGTCTTTTATAACTATAAAGAATGGAATAAATCTGCTCTTTGCCCACGAGTGGCCAGACACAATCAACAGGGTTAGGACATTCACAATCAGCTCAGCCAATGGAATCAAACAGATATAAAAAGCAGGCAACTTGAAAGGCTGGGAGAGCTGATTCCCTTACAGGGAAACTAAATCATTCCAGAAAGCCTCATCTAAAACCTCTGTAATTGACAACAGTATCTAACAATCTTGATCTTGATATGTAAGTATTTGCTCTAACCTAAAGAAGCATTTGTTTATCACGTACAAATATTTAGAATGCCAATCCTGCATTCTCTGCCTAGAATTCAAAAGAATTCTAGGCTCTAAGGCTGCACCCAGCACAGATCAATTATATGGGATTGGATGATACATGCACTTCAAAAAACACAATTTGCGGCCGGGCGCGGTGGCTCAAGCCTGTAATCCCAGCACTTTGGGAGGCCGAGGCGGGCGGATCACGAGGTTAGGAGA